ATCATTTCTCTATGACTGGACGTATCGGTATTCAACCTTCATTTTTAACACATATATTCGGCTTCGGTTGTTGACAAGGCGACCGTTCGTTGTTTACGTGATTCCCATGATATAGGTTCATTTAAATAAAATACATATCCAGTGTAGGATTTCCGGTCTTTTAAACATGCACCATAATCAGCATCAGTATAGCCCGTAAGAGTGAGTATATTTTTCTTCTGGAATCGGAGTTTAAGATGCATTGTCCCTTTTAAATATCGTAGAACTCTTTTTGCTGCATTCCAGTGAATTGTCCCATAATTAGAATTAAACTGGCTTAACACACTTACTGCATGTGTAATGTCTGGCCTAGTTCCTACAGATAGATACATAAGAGAACCAACCAGTCTTTGATAAGGCAAATGTTGAGCTGCTTCTTTATCTTCATTTGAAGGATTCACTAACTTTAAATTAGGATCAGCAGGTGTACTAGCCGGTTTTGCATCAGTCATAGCAAAATTATCTAGTACCTTTTTAATATATTCTTCTTGATCAATGGCTATACCATTTTCCTCTTTTGCGATTCTCATTCCTAAGAAATGTTTTAAGTTTCCTAAATCCTTGACCTTAAAAAATTGTTTAATATCCCTTTTAAAATTTTCTTTCATATCAGCATTATTACTGAGAATGCAAAAATCATCAACAAAGATTGCAACAATTAACATGCAAGTTTCATTAACTTTATAATATAGGCAATGATCATGTTCAGACCTTTTCATTCCAAGTTGCATCATTGCTTCGTTAAGTTTAAGGTTCCACTGTCTAGGCGCTTGTTTTAAACCATAAAGTGCTTTCTTTAACTGGCATACCTTCCCCTTGTTGCATTCTTTAGTGAAACCCTCAGGTTGTTCCATATATATTTCTTCATTTAGATCACCGTTAAGAAAAGCAGTTTCAACATCCATTTGATCCATTGTTATATTCCATTGTGCTGCGAAAGCAAGCAGTAATCTAACTGTTGAAAGGCGTGAAACGGGTGCGAATGTTTCGTCATAATCTACGCCGTAAGTTTGTGTAAAGCCTTTGGCTACTAATCGTGCCTTATAGCGTGTGTTTTCTCCGTTTTCATTTTTCTTTATTTTGAATACCCATTTACAACGGACTATTTTTCTATTTTTAGGTCTATCCACAAGGACCCAAGTTTTGTTAGTTACAAGTGAGTCATATTCACTTTGAAGAGCCTCTTGCCATTTATTTTTATCATCAGAACTAATGGCTTCCTTAAAGGTTGAAAACTGTCGATATATTGATAATATGGAAACTTATGTTAATGAGATTATGTCGACACACCAACAATTAAAACAAATAAACCACAAAGTAGATGATTCGTTTGTTGCAATTATACTGCTTTGTAGTCTACCCGATCAATTTAAGCCACTCGTCATGGCATTGGAACATTCTGGCACTGAACTAACATCAGACAATGTCATTGCTGCACTTATGAAAGAAGACAGCCGAGATCTAGCCACCTGCAGTAAAACACCTGAAGATAGTGCTTTAGTGTTGTCTTACAACAAATTTAATAGAGACACTAAGAACATATTTTGTAATTACTGCCGTAAACCAGGGCATATAAAACCAAATTGTAGAATTCTTAAAGCTAAATCCTAAGATAAAAAGACTTATATATTTTCTTGATAAATATTTTAAACAGAAAAAACAAACTGACAATGACAAAGAATATAAAGAGAAAAAACAAAGTGGCCTATCAAAAGATATATGAAAGAAGGTTGGTGTGTAAACTAAATAGTTCCAACAGTATCTGTACTCAGATAGTTTCCTCCAGCTCGTAAATTGTGATTTTTTACCTCAACGGCCGTAAGAAATCGATTTCTCAAAATTGTTGACACCATATAGCGATCCTCCCGCGCAGTCGTGCACCTCGTTCGGTCTGTTCCTGGTCTTCTTAGGTTGGATCCAGTTTCATGGAAACGCTGGAGTACCCGCTGAACTGTGGAAAGACTCACACCAACAGTTCTCGCTGTATTGCGCTGACTGCGCCCATCTTCAAGCATTGTCAGGATCCTGGTGCATTCTTCAGGGGTTAACGACATGATGACTTCAGAACACAATTTTTGTATGACAAACACACGATATTTATTGTAGTTTTTATGTCAAAACTAAAACAAATGCGAAACAAATGCTTTGATTTTTTTAGAACTAAATTGAAAAACAACCATTATCTTCATTGCCAGTTTTCTTACACAATTATCTAAAGTAAATAAAAAGGTTTTATATACTATGTTACATAACATTAAATATTCTTTAATTGAGTTTTTATTTCATAAAGCTAGGTGAGGTAGTTTTCAAGTTATTGAAGATTTTCTAACCGACCCGTTTTCTTTGCGGTCCAGTGTATAAAATGTATCTTGAGTATGGAGAATTTTATCTAAATTCCTTGCAATCAATAATAGTCTTAATTTATAAATATCTTTGTTTTCTCTATACATTCTATTCGTATTATATTTAACAATGTAATCAGATAGACGCACTCAGAGCTTTTTTATTTTATTTAAATTCAAAATTAACATATTTTATTATTGTTTCTTTACGTGTAAAGATCACAAACGTAACATTGGCGGAATTGTGTAAGACAATTGGAACGTAATTTTTCAAAATAATAATGGGAAAAAATAAAAGTTGCGACCAATCTACAAGAGAGATTATATTAAAACTTTGGGAGGAAATTGCTCTTATAAAAAAATATCTGACCATCTACAATGTTCTAAAACCATGATCAACAATGCTGTGAAACGTTATAAAACTTATAACAGTAATTTAATATTTAGACCATGCCACGACAGAAAAAAACATCATTTTGAGGCGACAGAAACATCATTTGTCTGGCGAAATTAAATCCTTAGAAAGGGTTTGACGAGATACGAAAGTAATATTTTGACGAAGGAAACCCCTCTGCGATCTCGGCACGAACTATTCGAAGGCGTTTAGTGGAAGAAAAGTTGTACGGCAGAATAGCAAGATAGGTGCTAAAACAGAGCCATAGGTGAGCCCGGCTCGCATTTGCAAAAAAAGTATGAAACCTAGATAGTTAAACAGCGGTCAAATGCACTTTTTTCTGACGAAACGAAAATAAATAGAGTGTGCTCTGATGGAAGTTGACCATTTGACCCATTTTTTTTTTGAAGTTGAGAAATGCGTTACGCATACCCGCTCCCCCTAGCGCGGGGTCGGCGGGTTATGTGGGACTCATCCTGCGGCCCCACCCCGAAGGGGCTAGACAAGAAGCAGGGGTTTACCCACTAAAACTCAGCGGTGTCCCTCGCACGGAAGGCAATGCACGGGAAAGGCCCGAAAGCCACCGCGCAGTTCGCCCTCATTTCGGCCCGCCCTGAAAAGGGCAGGCCCCTCTGCGGGTTGGGGGTGCCTCTCAGACACTCGAGATGCACCACCCCCCAGACGAGGCGAAGGCGTGCAATGCCCGATCAGTGCGTAAACCGGTCAGGCTGCCCCCGACTAGAAATTGGAGACGCGCAACTGTGCAATCTCCAGTCCCCTACCCATCTATTTATATAATTTGGGGTTGCTTCTCTGGTCATGGAATTGGGCTTATTAGGCTTATAGAAGGAAAGATGGATCAAGTTCAATACAAGTATATATTGGAAGAAACAATGTTACCCTGTGCTGAAGATGTTCTTCCAGTTATTTGGAAATTTCAGCATGATAATGATCTAAAACATTTAGCCCTCTCAATAAAGGGATTTCTTTACTCTCAATCCGTTTCCGTCTTAGACTGGCCAGCTAACAGCCCTCATTTAAACCCAATCCCCCATCTTTGGTGTAAAGTTAAAAAGGTAATTTAAGGAACCTATGCAATGTTTTCTTGGAAAATGGAATTCTATTTCTCATGCAAAATGTCAAAAATTGATAGAGTCAATGCCTCGTTAGTGTAAAGCAGTTATTAAGAGTTGTAGACATATGACCAAATATCAATTTTAGTTTAAAATATGTTTAATTTTTTTTAATGTACATTTTTTAATATTATAACAATATAATTACTCTGTATTTTATTTTAACATTATACCAATAGCTTAAGAGTATCCTTTCTAATTTTTTGTCCAGCTTCATTATCATATACTATAATACTGTCTACAATAAATATACTTTTACAAAAAAAAAGTTAATAATTTTATAGTTTCGTTTATCTTAACTAACTGGCTCTCTGAATATGTAAGTTAATACTTACAAAAAGTAATATTAAAAAAAAATAAGGCAAGTTTCATTTAAAACATTCTATTATGACAAATTGTTCTTAATTATATGGCCACTGCTGTATAAAAATGAAAGTGTCTAATAGTGACACATGTTCATGTGTAATAGATATTAGACAAGATCAGATAAATGAAGGATAAAAATGTTATGAAGATTTTGTTATGCATGATTTAATATGGTTAAGAATGTTTAAGAAGAAGGACAGCAAGTCCCAAGAATAGATAAACAGTTTGTGAAGTATATTGCGAATATTTAGGTTACTTATTATACACAAGAGTTCAAAAACAATTTTTTTTTATAAACTATCTCTTCAAATTATCAACAAAAAACAACATTTGATTCCACCAGATTATGTCTAAGTATTTAGTAATTAAAACAACCGAATATCACTGTAATACATATTATTTCAAAATTGAAGATAATACTATCTGATAAAATTTAAATCTGTATTGATAAGGAAAATTACAGGTGGCAGTATCATTGCTTAATAATTTCATCAAAATATTTAATTTAATTAGCTTAGAAACAGCAATTTGTTTTCTTATTTATTTAATTAAGCTGTATAAATTATATACTTCCCATAAATTATTTCAATAATTGGTTACTTTCACATATGAAATACTGCATCCAATAATATAATCAAATAACATACTTGATTTTATTCCTTATGTAGATGGGAGTTAATGTATATAACTAAGATAATTTATAGAAATATAAAAAAAAAAACTTACTCATATGTTGAAAGCACAGATTGAAACAAGGTCTCCTTTTTCTCATTCTGAATGTTTACAATAAACTGACACTCAGGCACCATAACATATTCATATAGACCTGGACTCAGCTGAAAACGGCAGAATTCTCCCTTGAATCCTCTGCCTATAGTTCCTCCTCCAATGCCCCCAATAGGACAACCTAAAATTAAAATTATTAATAAGAAAATTATGCAATTTTATAAGAACTTCCTATCTACCTATCTGCCATAAATAGAAATCCTGCCTGCTGTATGAGAAATAACCAATAAATATATGTAAGAGATGTAAGATGGTTCAAATTATTTAAACATTCAAAGTATATAAATATTCATAATTAAATCATAGTTAACTTACCATACATTCTTTGTGCTGAAATAAGGTGAACAAAGTCCATAATAGGGCGTTTTTTATTAATTTTTTTCCCAATGTAGTATTTTAAATATCTGCATAGAAAGTAAAAGGTTAACATAACAAAAAGAGTTTTACATTATACAAAATGCTAAAAGAAAATTTAGCTTACTAGTTACCTTGCTGAAAGAGGCATCATTTCAATTATTTGATGGGGTTTCGGTTTAATAATTTGTTTACTTTGTAATGGGTGTTCATGACTCAATTTGAGCTTAAGACCTATACTAGAAGGTTTGTCAAATTCAGGCACTGTGTCTCCCGCAGTCTCCATTTCTAGATTACGTATTTAACGTATTTTTATTAAAATCTTAGTATTGCAATTTCTTTGAGGTTCACATTTCAAAACAGAAATGTGAGTGATGATATCTCTGACAGACTCCTAGAGTAAAAGTGTTGTGTCTCTGACATTATTAGAGAGGGACGTTTAAACGAAAAGGACTTAATTAAGCATGCTTTTTTAAATAAGTGCATAAGCGGTTTTTCACTTAGAAGATAAATATGCTTATGCTTATTATACGTCCCGCCATCTATCAAGTCATGATTTAATTATTAGCTTCAATCAATTTTTCTATTTCGGCATTTTTATAATCGAGGTCAGCACTTTACATAAATGCACTGTCTTATGCTATTACGCCTAATATCCATCTAGACTTTTTTGCAACATCTTTTTTGGTTGGTTAATCCAGACGCTTTTTTAAACGGAACCTAAAATAAAGCAAGCAATACGCTTTTCGTTGTTTGAGTAGGCGCACGTTACGTTGAAAGTTAATTGATTGCGTAAATTTAAACTTTAACTTTATTATATTGATTTAAAGTCCTAAACTTGTGATTAAGTACGAGGGAAAATTCATTGATTGATATAAAGTACAAAAAAATTAGATATTATCAATATTTTGTTAACTTATAAAAAAATATTTGAAAAAATATTTATTATTTTAATTATATTTATTTTAGTCAAAGCAAGTTAGTTTTATAAATAACTACAATACAACATTCCACACTTATTATAACAATTTCCAAACGTCAGGTGAAAAAAGCATTTAAACAATAAGCAGTTTACAAAAACGCACGCTTAAAAATCATACAACCTAACAACGCTTAAAAAATTAAAGCCGTTTTTTCCACCTCTAGTCATTATGCAACGATTAATATATTGGATAACCAAATTATAACGATATAATGACGCCGAAAATAATTTAGGTATATCGATATCGAAGAAATTCTGATATTGATATACCGATATCCTTATAATCTGATTCCTAATATCTAATAGATAAAATAATTAAGATGTGTATTGATAATGAGGAAGTATTTAAAAAATAATGATTAGTTCTTGAAATTATACTAGATGTCACTCGCGATGTTTGGATTTTGTTTATAATATTCATTCAAATTTTGTTTCTGACGAATAAAAGTAAATTGAGTATCAAAAATAAATAAATATTACATCGTTTTTTGATCTTATAATATCATACTTTCAAATTAATTTTAATTTATTTTAATCGTAAGTTTAAGTTGTTTATTATGTTATGTGTATTTTTTTTTTTTTTTTCCTCATAATATGGCAGGCACGGCTTGTGCATTTTGCCAATGTCAAGTAAAAAATTTGGGAAACGAATAGGAAAGAAATCGGATAAGGAAGGATGGGATCAGGAATGTATGGTATTTATAATCTTAAATATACTATATATATATATATATATATTATCGTTGTTTACAATTTTATATTATTGAGTATGAGATATGATATGATACATTTATATATTGCTTGATCATAAGTATGTAATAGTGTAGCTATGTTAGTCGGGAATGGAACACGAAGGGATGTTAGGTCTTGCCAGAGGGAGGATCTTTGGAATTTAGGACAGGAGAAAATAATATGATTAACTGTTCCTTCATCTGATCCACAGTCACACCTAGGATCGTTGATTATATGGAGTTTAGCTAAATGAAAAGGCGCAGAAGAATGACCAAGTCTCATACGTGTAATCATAGAAGTTTCTAGCTTGCCACACTTCATTAAGAAGAACCAAGGTTTCAAAGGAATATGATTTTGTATCTGAGCATAAAATTTAGCTTTTGTCAATTTACTGATTTCCCACATTTGGTCCCATTTCTCGCGTAATATTACTTTTGGAATTGCTAATAAATCTGAACAATAGTTTTGAAAAGGAAAAACATCTCCACATGATACTGCCTCTTTAGCAAGCCTATCAGCTATAATATTACCCTTTATACCAACATGAGCTGGAACCCAGGCAAATTCTACATGAACTTCGTTTTCAATACATTTTTGTATCATTTGTCTGATGTCAAAAATAACGGGAGAATAACATTTTAATTTAAACGGAAATTTTTCTAAAGACTGTAAAGCACTCTTTGAGTCTGAAAATATTATAACAGATTTAAGTTTCATGATTTTACTGTATTCTAAGGCTTTCAATATACCAAAACATTCTCCTGAATACACGGATGATTCTGGAGGGAGTTTTACTTTCTGAACTATTTTATACTGAGAATGATAAATACCGACTCCAACGCAGGTAGATGTCGAATGTTTGGAAGCATCACAAAATATGTGATGATAGTCATTGAATTTGCTGTCAATCGCGATTTCAAAGTTTAATTTAGCGTCTAAATCTGATTTTTCAACTATGTCATAATGAATATTAGGAAGAAAAATTAACGATTTAAAATCGACATTAAAAATAGGAAGGTAATTTGATACATAAGTAGGAGAAGAAAGGGAGATGAATTTCTTATAACTAACAATGAGACATGGTGGAGTTTTATGTGTCCAATAGCTTGAAGTAGAAAATAATTCATAAAGTGCCTTAATCTTAGAAAGAAGTGGATGATTTGAACACTGAATAGTACGAAAAAAGAATTTGTCACAAATATATTGCCGTCTTAATTGAAGGGGGGGTTCACAGCATTCTATTTGTAAAGCGTTTATTGGGCTCGACTTCATGGCTCCCAATATTATCCTCAGAGCTTTATGTTGAATTTTGTCTAGCTTCCTAAGGGCTGTAACATTACCTGGTTCTAGCAAAAATGTACCGTAATCTAAAACACTTCTAATAAGGGCGTTGTAAACCAACTTTAAACAATATGGATGAGCTCCCCACCAAACGCCTGAAAGGCATCTTATCATATTTAATAAGCGTTCACATTTATCAGCAACATATACACAATGGCGGGTGCCTGAAAGTTTCGAATCTAAAACTATGCCTAAAAATTTCGCGTGATCTTTAACGGGAATAGCAGCATTATCATACTTTAGGGAGATAGGAGGAAGTTTATTTTTACGAGTATATACTACGACAGCACTTTTAGAAGCAGACAGTTGTAACCCATTAGAATCCATCCAATATTTTAAATTAGATAAAGCAGATGTTAATTTAAGAAGCGAATCCTCAATGGAATGACTAATGTAATACAATAAAAGGTCATCGGCGTATTGAAGTATTTTGATATATTTATTTGAGCAAATATTATCTTCTAAATCGTATGTATAAACATTATACAGAATAGGACTAAGGACTGACCCCTGCGGAAGGCCTTTTGAAACAGTCCGAGAATAAATAATATTGTCGTAATATATTTCTATTTTGCGTTCTGTTAAAACGTTGAGAATAAAATTTATGAAATGGGAAGGTATACCTAAAGATAATAGTTTAATTTTGAGAATATCTAATAAGACATTATCATACGCAGAAGACAAGTCTACAAAAACAGCTGTCACCGAATCGTTATTAGAGAAAGCTATACGAATATCTGTAGTGAAGATAGCAATATTATCGAGTGTACTTCTACCTTTTCTAAAGCCATACTGAGTATTGGCTAAAATGCCTTTACTTTCTAGAAACCAATCTATACGGTTTTTGATTAAATGCTCCGCTAATTTGAGTAAAACCGAAGACATAGCAATGGGTCGATATGAAGAAGCTTCAGAAGGAATTTTATTTGGTTTTAAGATTGGCAACACTGTTTGACGTTTCCAAGATGAGGGGATATTACCTGAGATCATTGACGAGTTTATTAAATCTAAATAATATTGTAATGTGTTATTGCAAACGTTGGAAAGAAAAGCATATGGGATACCGTCGCTCCCAGGGGCAGAGTTTTTCGTGTTTTGGATGATACCTTTTAATTCATATAAACTAAACGGAGCACTAATATCAGAGTCAGTTAAGGAAGAAGAGATGGAGATATTGTTCGAAACCCAGGGAGGAGCTAATTTATCTAAGAAAGGGTTTATTAGCTGTGGTGGTATCATTGATGAAGAGTTGTTATTGACAGCCGATTTAAATCTTTTAATGTTTTGCCAAACTAATGTTGGAGGAGTGTTAGGGGAGATAGAGGTACAGAACCTACGCCACCCTTCAAATTTTTTTTGTTTAAAAAGTTTTTTAGTTTTTGTTATCAACTCTGACATTTTATCATAATTAGATTCAGTCATATTTTGTTTATATATTTTCTCAGCAGCTTTTCTTTGTTTCACAGCTTCCGTACACTCATTGTCCCACCACGGAGGAGATGGAATTTTATTGGGGTAAACTTTTTTAGGGAAGACTTCATTAGCTGCATCTATAAAAAGATTACTCAAAGCTTCAGCTCTTTCAGGCTCAGAACTAGAGTTGATGTTAGGGAGCAAATATAATTTTGACTGAACTGAAGTTGTGAATTTTTCCCAGTCTTTACTGTCTTTATTTGGAAGCCTATGTTTGAGATGGGAGATTCGACAGGGGTTTGAAGGTTTAGAGAAAGGAAAAGTTATAATAATAGGATAATGATCACTACCATATGATGAAGAAAGTATCTGCCAAGAAAGAGAAGATGCAAGACTAGGAGAACATAATGACAGATCAACAGCACTTTTATTTTGATTTGGTTTTGTTACACGTGTAGCTTCACCAGTGTTTAAGATACAAATATTATGACAATCAATGATGTCTAATAATTCATCCCCATAATTGTTTGTATTAGAACTGCCCCACGATTGATGATGGCAATTGAAATCACCTAGTACTAGAAAAGGTTTGGGCAAATTATTTAGAATTAAACGAAGTTCATTTAAAGCAGGAATAGATGGATGGGAAATATATATAGACACAATGCATTTGTTAAAAACCCTAACAGCAATTATTGAAATATCTTTATGGTGAGAGGGCAGAGGAATAGGTGTGAAAGAAAGTGATTCTTTAATGAGTATGGCTACGCCTCCATAGCCATCTGGTCTATCTTCTCGTAAGGTAGTATATCCACTGACTTTAAAATTTAGATGACATTTAAGCCATGTCTCTGATAATACAAAAACAAAAGGATTATATGTATTCACAAGAAAAATTAACTCGCTTTTTT